GCCAGGCCGAGGAGCAGCAGTATCTAGACAAGCTGAAGCAGCTGTCCAAGTACATTGAGCCCCTGCGCCGTATGATCAACAAGATCGATAAGAACGAAGGTGCGGCCGGGGCAGGGGGCACAGCATGTTTGGGTCCGGGGGCGGGGGTAGGGAATACCCCAGGCACGTGTCTTAGTGGCCCCTCTCTGCCCCAGACAGAAAAAAGGACCTGAGTAAGATGAAGAGCCTTCTGGACATCCTGACAGATCCCTCTAAGCGGTGAGCTTTGCCCCCAGGCTCCTGGGGGAAGGATGGTGCTGTGCCCACGTCCAACTGCGTGGTTAGCCCAGCCTTGGACGGGCGTTTGGTGGTGATGTGGAGTTTAGAGAAGGGGCCTTAGGGCTCCACTTAGGTGTATCTGCTGGGGCTCCAAGCCCCTGGCCCCCTACCTTTGCCCCTCCCCTGACTTAACAGTGGCCTTGGGCCAGTGACCCCATATCAGTTACCCCATCTGCAAAAAGGGGCAGCTGTGGCTGAGCCGGGTTGGCTGGGAAAATGAAACAAGATGATGCCCTGAGAAGCACTTGTAAGGCAGTGGCGCACTGGCTTCTCAACACAGCACACACACCCATGCCTGCCGGTCTCGGGGCTGCTGTGAGCACCAGAGCTTGGTCAGCACTACAGAACTGTGCACGTGGACTGGCCTTTGGGTTGTGTTCCTCTCCCTGCCTCAGCTTAGGCTGTGCTCCCTTGAAGAAGATCTTCTCTGTTCCATTTACTGGGCAGAATGCTGGAAACTGCAGAATTCGGCCTCTTGGATCTGGACCACCCTCCAAGCCCTCTTGGATTGATCCCTCATTGGGATTATAGGGCTGGGGGGCAGGGACCTGACCTCTGTCCCTCCCCCCGACCCATCACATTCATGCCCTATTCTGCCGACCAGGACTGGGCCACTCCTGGGGACGGGACGATCTTGCCTTATACTCTGGATCTAGGAACAGCTAGTCACTGGCTGGGGCTCCTGTGGAGGGTTCTGGTGGCCGAGGCTGGCTCCATCCACACCAGGGGAAGCCAGGCGGGCGGTGTTTGGAATCAGCACCCCATCCTCAAGCACGGAGGGTCAGTCACATCCCCTCTCCCCGCACAGGTGCCCCCTGAAAACACTGCAGAAGTGTGAGATTGCCCTGGAGAAGCTCAAGAATGACATGGCAGTGGTGAGTGGGGCACCATGGCCTGGTGGTTTTCAAAGGGCCGCAGGCATCTCTGGGGAGACTGGGACTCACCCCACAGCAACTCACAACCACAAGCTGGGAGAAGCCTTTACAGTCAGGCGTGGGTAGAGGGGGCACACTGCTCAGCCTGGGGACCTTGCCCTGGAGTCTTCCTTCCGGTCAGGTTGGCTGTGGGGAAGGAGAGCATGTGCGGGAACATGGGAGAAGTCACCCTCCGGCTGTGGTCTTGTGGGTGTTCCCTCCATCCCCCAGGTTCGCAGGCTTTGGTGTATACGCCCATTGCGCTTCCACCCGCCCGCGCCCAGCACAAGGCCAAGCCCTGGGGGTAGGGCTCTCTGGGGAAGGTCAGGGCTGCAGGAGGCAGGAGAATGCATGCAGGATCAGCTGTATTTGTCTCTAGGGGGCAGAGGTGGTGGGGAAGCTGTGGAAGTCTGGCTGTGAGGATGAGGACCTCGGGGTCTGGAAAACCTCCCCAAGAATGGGCTGCTGACCCCACTGTCCTGTCCCAGCCCACGCCCCCACCGCCCCCGGTGCCGCCAACCAAACAGCAGTACCTGTGCCAGCCACTCCTTGATGCTGTCCTGGCCAACATCCGCTCACCCGTCTTTAACCATTCCCTGTACCGCACCTTCGTGCCGGCCATGACAGCCATCCACGGCCCACCCATCACGTACGTATAGCCCAGGGCTCAGCCTCACACTGGTGCTGGGCGGTGGGCCGTGGGCCATGGGCCACAGCCTAGCCCAGCGTGGTGACCACAGCTGCCTCCTCCAGAGCCCCGGTCATGTGCACCCGGAAGCGTAAGTTTGAAGACGATGAGCGGCAGAGCATCCCCAACGTGCTCCAGGGGGAGGTGGCCAGATTAGACCCTAAGTTCTTGGTGAATTTGGATCCTTCTCACTGCAGTAACAACGGCACCGTCCACCTGATATGCAAGTTGGGTGCGTACCGGAGAGGCGGGGCTGGTGCTGTGGGAGAAAGTCCTGAACTCCAGCCCCAGGGCTCTGCCGCCAGCCCCGACCCCAGAGCATGCCCTGGGCCTCCCATAAATAGGCACACTCACACCATACCCCGAAGCCCACCATCCCCACGTCCTCCTGGAACCTGACACATACCTGTCCTAGGATATGCCCTGAGGGCTGAGCCCCAAGCCCACACACTCTCTTCTCTTACCGCCTGCTGGGGAAGCCCCCTCCCTGCCATCCAGGTATGAAGCCTGAGGCCCAAGGGAGATGTGGAAGCCTGGGAGTCAGAGCGACCTCTAGACTTTGCAGCAAGCCTCACCAGAACCTTTTGGGATATGAAGGGCCCTGTTTGGAGCAGGGCTGTGAGGCAGGGCAGACTGGGGCCTTGGGCCAGGTCACAGGCACAGCCACGTGTGTTACAGATGACAAGGATCTCCCGAGTGTGCCGCCGCTGGAGCTCAGTGTCCCTGCCGACTACCCCGCCCAGAGCCCACTGTGGATCGACCGGCAGTGGCAGTACGGTGGGTGAGCCGAGAAGACAGCCGTGGCGAGGCCTTATGGCTGCTGTCTAGGGGCCCTGGCAGCGGGGGTCAGCTCCAGGCAACCCGGGTTTCCTCTGTGCTGCTGCAGCGGAGGCCCCGGCTCCACTTTCTCTGGCTGCCCCTTTGTGGACAGGAGTGGGGTTGCCCAGAAATCACTTGGAGAGAAAGGGGTCTCTGTACCTTTGGTCTTCTTCCGTCTGTCTTGCATCTGCAGGGCAGCCATGTCTAGTGGGTGAGGAGTGAGCAGGCCCAGCCGCCCCTGGAGGCCTCTGCAAGCTAATAGGGGAACACAGAAGGAGCTAGAGCTCCTGGAGACCCATCTGGGTGACATGGCTTCAAACCAGAGGCCCAGAGAGAGCCCTTTTGATGGGGACCAGTGACCCTGCAGCTCAGAGCTGGTGCATAGGGCTGGGATCCCAAGGCTGTCCTTTGGGAGAGTCCTGGGCTCCAGACCGGTCCACATTCTAGCTCTCGACTGACGCGTGGGCCTGGGAGGGGAGCCCGTCGGCTGTCCCGCTGTGTGTGGGAGATGGCACCCCTGGTCACGTTGGCTGGGTGGAATGCCCCACACGCCAGCCCTGTGTCTGGGGCAGCCTGTTCATAGAGAGTTGCTGTGTGGCCCAGTGGCAGGCCCAGCAGCACTAATGGCCCACTGCTCTGTTGCAGACGCCAACCCCTTCCTGCAGTCGGTGCACCGGTGCATGACCTCGAGGCTGCTGCAGCTCCCCGACAAGCACTCGGTCACAGCCCTGCTCAACACCTGGGCGCAGAGCATCCACCAGGCCTGCCTCTCAGCTGCCTAGCCACCCAGCCACTGGGGACCACGGGGAGAGCCGGCAGCCTTGTCAGGGCCACAGAGGACATGCACCCTCGTGTTGGACATTTCTAGGTGTTGGCTCCCTTAGAGAGCCTGGGCTTAGATTAGCTTTCCTGCTTTTATCTTCTGCCTTGGGGACCTGCCAAACATCCTCCCACACTTGTATATGACTGGGGCAGGTGGCTGTGGAGCTGGCTGCATCAGTGGTGGGGTTGGGACGTTCCCCAGGGGATTGGACATGCCACCAGCCCTGTGCACTCCTCCCTGGGCTGCTGTCCCCTCGGCCTCTCCAAGGCCCATGTCCTTCCTCAGTAGCACGGGGAAGAACTCAGGATCTTGCTAGAGCCTCGTGTGTGTGCACCAGAAAATACTTCCTGTTTCTGTAGGGGAACGTGGAAAGCATAGGAAACCCTGAAAACACACACAGAATTCTCTGGTCACGGTTTTGGGTTCAGACCCAGCCACTTTGGCATTTGGGGCAAGCCACAGGGAAGCTCCTGGATCCAAGGGCGCTGGCCAAGTCTCAGAGGGGGAAGGTCGCCCTACAGGCAGTTGCAAATCCCCTGCCATCGCCTGGGCCTCATACCTCATGGCATTCTCCCTTTAAGCCATGGGGGTCTGCTCAGCACTGTGGGGGTGCCTGGGGAGCAGGGGCACCTGGGTGGACCCTGTCCCGGCACCATGCCCACTCCTGGGTCAGGGCGGTGTCCTCAGGACGTGGCGTCCTCAGAGCCACTCCAGAGAGTGAAGGCTCCCTGACAGGGCATCAGCCCACCAGCCCTCTGGCGATGAGAGGTTTCCCCTTTTCTATGTGCACTACCGTGTCATCTGTGGTTCTTACAATAAATTTATTATTCCTGTGTTTGTCGTGAATTTGTTACTGTGTCCCCTCCCTCCAAAAGTCTGGGGACCACTGGCTGGTGAGGAACGCTGTCGGGGCTGAGCCAGGTTCCCCACCTTGGAGATGGCCATGGACGCCCAGGCCTTAGTTCACCCTTTTTTGAGTGCTAGTGCCTCGGCCTCACCCAGGTTTCCGGCCAAACTCCTGCTGCTCGGAGCCAGAAGAGGCAGAGATGAGCACTGAGGAAATGGCCAGTGGGGCCCGGAGCACGGCCCTGCCAGGGGCGGTCCTGCCCACACCCATGAGCCTGAGAAGGCTACAGTTGTGAGGCCCTCGTGGGGTAGTAGGAGTGTCACAGGGTGGAGGCCCAGAGCCTTGGAGAGACCTGCTCTCCCGCGGCCGAGGCCCTCTCCGGGGCGGCGGGGGGGGGGGGGGGAAGGCAGGCTCGGCAGGATGGCTCATCAGCTGTTTGTCAGTGTGGAGGCCGGCCGGCGCCGACGGTGGGCGGAAGGCGTCTCGCCCTGTGCCCAGGGCCAGGAAAGACCCCTGCACTCAGAAGGGAGAGCATGCCGGGCCCCAGACGAGCCCGAGCCCCGGGGACCGCCCTGGCAGGCCCCTCCCCCTTGCAGGGAGCAGAGCTGGGGGCGCAGAGCGGCGCAGTGATGCCGACAGCAGTGAGGGACGAGACGCACAAGTGGAGAAACGAGCTTTATTTCCAGTCTTCAACGGGGTAGGGTGATGCTTATTTCATAGTGTTTTCCTGTAAACGCAGAATAGCAAAATACCGAGCAAGAAAATAATTTCCCAGTTCTGAGACCAAGTACTTTATCTGCGATGAGTTTTGTTTATCTGGAATTTCGCTTGGCCTAAACGTATTAGAATTCTTTGGAAGTGCTATCTAGAGAGGGGGAGGGTCTCCGGCGGAGGGGTGCGGGGGAGGGGCACGGGCCTGGCTGAGACCTGCCGAGACCTGCCGAGACATGCCGCGCAGACGCAGACGCAGACGCAGACGGGTGCCGCGGGCCTCAGAGCACAGAGCGGTGCAGCCGCCGGCTCTGCACCACCTGCAGCCTTTTCTGCCGCTTGGCGAAGTTACTCTTCAGGGTCTGCTTCAGCGCCGGCAGGATGGAGCGCTCCGCCACGGGCATCGGGCTCAGAATCAGGCTGCTCGGGCAGAGGGACGTCACTGCAGGCGCCATCGGGAGCAGGAGGAGCAGGAGCCGAGACGTGGCTGGTAGTGCGGCCCCAGGCAAAGCACTGAGCTGTCCCGGTCCCTTCCGTCCGGGGCTCGAAGGCCACCCCACCCTCCCCCTGCCGGTGGGACTCACCATTTCTTGGGGACGCCCTTGGTGGGGACCTTGGGGAGCTGCGTGGCTCCCGAGTGAAGGGCCTCCTGGTCCCTTGAGGGAGGAGTCAGCAGTGAGCCCCAGAGGAGCAGACCTTGCTGTGGTGGGGTGGGGGGCCGCGAGGGGTCACTCACTTGGGAGAGCTGGGCCCAGCCTCCTCGGGGGCAGCCTTGGACCTCTGATTCTTTTCCAGAAGGGCCTTGAGGTGCTGCAACTGGAAGGCAGGGAGAAGAGGGGGCAGTGGGCGGGGCCCGCGGAGGCACTGCCCTCCCGCCCCGTAGCCCGAGCCTCACCTTTTGGGCCTGCAGGAGGTTGGCATTCCACAGCTGGCGGATGACCACCTCACACTGCTGAAGCGTGGCGGGCTTGCGCAGGTAGGGGGGCAGGCTCATTGCGGGGGGCTGCTTGCCCTTGTGCGGGCTGCCTGTCGTCAAGGCGGCCACTGCCCTGGAGGCCTCCCCTTCTTCATCTCTGGAACAGTCACTGCAGCAGCCCAGAGCTAGCCTGCCAGGATTTGCTCTAACCACCCGCCACCTCTCTCCCGGGCAGCACCCGCACCAGTGTGAGACCGGTGTGGGGATGAGGGGTGTCCACGCAGCCTCCTTAGGGCCTGGTTCCCTTCTGCTGACCAGGGTGGTCCCGGCACCGGGTGGGGGGGCCCTCCGGTGCCACCTTGTGACCTGGGCCCACCCCTGCCTCCTCTCTCAAGGTGCACCTGAGGGTCAGATGTGGTTCACGCTGCGTGGCTTCCCTCAGCCCTGACCCCCACACCTGTGGGGCTGGTTGAGAGAGAATCTAAGGACTGTGCTGAGAAGCGGGAGCCTGACCTGCTGGTTTCCCTACCCAGGGGACAACGGGGTCTCCGTTTCGGAGGCAAAGTCCAGGTTCCTTGCTGCTTTCCAGGGAAGTCCCAGAAACTCAGGTGTCAGCACACCGGTCTTGCTCTGGCCTGCTGGCTCCATGCCTTGCAGAGGCCAAGCACCCTTCCCCGGGGGTGAGCCCAGGAACCCGACTTAACTGTTCTCTTGGTGAACAAGTTAATTGAAAGGCCAAATCACTTTGTTTCATTTCTGTGAGAAAATGTTTTCGGGGCTGCTTGTTGGCACCCACATGTGGGCTCAGGTCAGCACAGGGACCCTGCAGACCCTCGGGAAAGGGGCAAGGCATTGCCCACCAGATGGGCAAGCCTGGAGCGAGTCGGCTTTCACTCAGGAGAGTGGCCCATTTGGAAGGGCAAAGCAGCTGGCTGATTGCAGAATGTGAACCTACTAAATGGGCGCTGGGCCCACGGGGTCCAGGCGAGCCCCCTTACTTGGCCGGCCCCTTCGTCCCTGGGGCTTTGTCCAGCTTGCTATTGTGAAACACGGCAGCAACTGGGCTCTCCTCTTCCAGGTCCGTCTTCTGGGGAACGTCAGCTTTCGAGTCTTGCTTCTTGGAGAAGCTAAGCTGGGTCCTGGCCTTGCCTTGAGAGCTGGCTGCAGCCAGGGCAGTCACTGTGGGCATCGAGAACCAGTGCCCAAGTCCGCTCAAGGAGCGCCCGCCCCCCGCCTCGGTTTCCGCCTCGTAAAGGAAAGCTGGTAGAAGCGAACGAGGGTCTGAGGGTCTGTGGGTGGTGCCTGCTGACTGCGGTAGAAGCTGGCTCCATGAAGCAGGCCTGTCCCACGTGTACTCAGAGAAGGCCGGGGCTGGGGGGTGGCCCCACAGCTGTTCCCGGACTCTGAAGCAGCACCCCATTTTGGGCAAAATGACACTGAATGAAAGCTCTGGGACCCAGCCTGCACAGGTTTCCTTTCCAAGGACAAGGCCCACTGCCTGCCTGGGCCCTGCGTAGAAAGGGCAAGGGCTGCCCCTGTGAGGATGCCCGGCCTCAGGAAGGCAGAGTGGGAAGAAGAGGCTATCAGCTCCCTCCCTCTGCAAAGGACACCACAAGCCCAGAACTCTAGGCAGGGCCATCCCACCTGCTTCCTGCCTCCTTGGGTGGGGTGGGGTGGGGAGACAAGATGAGCAGGGCTTCTGCCAGGCCACCTGTGTGTCACCTCTCCCTGGAAGACAGCTTAGGGAGGCTCAGAGGCTCCTCTGTATGTCGGGGTGCATCTGCTGTAGGGCCTTGTGCCCCACGTTGGCGTTCACTCCCTTTGCAGCCAAGCCCACCGGGCTTTTGTAGCCTCCCTCTGGCCAGCCCAAGGTCTTGTCACACCCTGCCTCAGCCCCTTCCTGCTGGTGTCAGCACACGACACCTGGGGGTCACCCTCCTTGGCTCCCTTCAGCTACCCACAGAGCCTGGCAAAGGTGCTCCCCTGAGGTGTGTCCAGCAGAAGACCACCAGGGGTTTACAGCAACCTGGCCAGCGCCCCACACTGGCCATTGGGCCCCGGGCCCCAGTGGGGCATGTGCCCCTCCCCTGACCCTGCATTCACGGAGGGTGCGGGTGGGTGCTCACCTGACATCGAATTTGAGACGGACTTGGTGGACTGAAAGCTGGAATTGGAAATGCTGCCTGTGGGAGAACGCACAGGGTCAGTTGGAGAGCCTTCCATCCTAGTGTCACCAGACAATTCTGCCGCCCCCCCCCATGGGTGAGGGTCCGGCCACCTGTGCCCTCCTGCTGGCCCTGCAGGCCTGTGTATTCATGCAGGGCCCTCCCCTACTCTGGTGAGGCAGCGCCAAGGCCAGGGGAAAGGTGACTTCTTGAAGGGCCATCCAGAAAGCAGTGGGCTTGGGCCCTAAGAAGCCCCAAAGGAGGATGACCTCTTCTGATGTCCCACTAGGGACCTCTGGTGCCACAGAACTGGGACCACTAACAGGCCCTGCCACTTGCCAAGGACAGCTCACTGGAACTGCTCTTGCCCCGTCGGAGGAGGGCCCACCACCACCCCATTCTCTCTGTCCCCTAGGAAATGAGCCCTGGACAGCCCCCAAGACTGGGGCATTTCAGGCTAGCACCACTCAGACTTGGCCCCAAAGGTAAGTGGGAGAGAAGGCCCAAGACAGCCTGAGTCTCCCTGGGCTGGACTGTGGGACACACAAAGTGGATGGGCTACTATCAGGATGAGGTAGGGCCATGGGTAAGTGGCTGTAGGTCTCTGCGCCTCTACTTCCTTCCCCCAGCCCTCTTGGTCATTGTGGAGTAGCAGAGAGGCTCCCTGGAAGGACTGTGCCCAGAGCCTTCTGTGCCAGGAAGTGATGGACCAGAGGCACAGGGCTGGGGCCGCCCAAGGCTTGCCAGCGTTTTAGAGGGAGCCTGGGGCCTGCCATAGCAGCAATCCAAGGAAAAGAATCCCTCAGAGCAGCAAGGCTAGGGAGGGCAGCTGCTCTTCCGGCTTCCCACCTGCACAGACCTCAGGCCTTGGGATCCCCAAGAGCCCCACCTGCTGTGCTTGGGTGCACAGCCACCCAAACCATGGCTGGGAGCAGTGGCGTCTGTCCAGGTCCCCCAGGACCCCTCCCCACTGGGATAGGCCAGTGCGGCTAGCTGGATGGACTCAAGCAACCCAGGGTCTGCTCCAGACATCAGCAACTTCCCATCAGGCACCCGAGGGCCTCATTCTTACCTTTCTTTGGCTTCTGATTCATTATTAGCTTGTAATGGAGATCTGAAAGCAAACACATGCTCCGGTCATTTTTGAAGGTGCTGCCACTTTGAGAGAAGAGGTTTGCTTTGCCCTGGGCACTCCCTCCCTGCTGAACCCCTGAGAGACTTCACACATGACCTTGGCAGCCAGGACCCTGCCCATGGGCCGTCTTTGCCCTGGGTGCCCTAGGACCAGGAATACCTCTGGCTGTTCCAGAGCCGGAGCCTTTGGGTGAGAGCCTTGCCAGAAGTCCACCCATCTGCCCATGACATCTACAAGGCACCCTCTGCTAGGTGGGGCCCCCGCTCCAGGAAGACAGAGGTGAATCAGGCTGACCCAGCCCTCCAGGAGCCCCTAGGCATGGATGGGCAAACGTGGTCAGAGCAATGATCAAGTGACCCCCCAGGACATGGGCAGGCCACATCCAGCCTGGGCATCAGGGAGGGACAGGGGTGAGACTCAAAACTCCTTATGTGAAGAGGGGGGAGTCCTGACATAATGGATACCCCTTGATCTCACACTTAGCACTTCAAGTAAAGACAGCAGGAGAAAGGTGGGGAGAAACTGAGGCAGGACTCGGAGTGTGGCGGGAGGAGCTCCAGCTAAAACATAAGGGAGAAGAGAGAGGGAGGCAGAGTAAAAGGCCTCAGGTTCTGCTTCAGGCCTGGCCCATGGTGGTGAGGAGCCACCAGCCGGGCCAAGTTAGGAAGCCCCTGCCCTGAGGACACACGTCTGCACGGGAGATCTGGATAGTGCCCGGCATGTAAGCCCTTGATTTGGGTGCGTTTAGTTTGTGAAAATCACTGAGCTGTATGCTCGCACTTTTTACTTCCACAAAAAGTTTTTTTTTTTTTTAAAACAGGCGGCACTGACTTGCCTAGACACAAGACTGCGGCCGGGCTCACTGCGGGGAAATGCCACAGACGTGATGGCCCTGACGCACCCCGACCCCCAGGACGACCCTGGTTTGGGGCCGGTGGCGGGGGAAGGGAGTCCGAGACCCGCGTGGCACGACCCGGGGTGGGGCTTGATGCCCTGTGTCCTTAAAACCCTGCGTGCTCTAGAGTCCGCGCGTGTTTCTGTGCTGGAGGCGCCAGGGGGCGGCAGGTTTGCGTCTCCCTCGGGCCCCAGCCGTGGTGGACGCCCCACCCGCGGCCCCACCGCCTGGACTCACCCTTGTTCTCCCGCTTGAGGTACTCGATCTCCTCGTGGAGCTTGACCAGCGTCTCGGAGTGCTGCTGCTGCAGGAACTGCAGGCTCTTCTCCAGGTCCAGGACCCGCTTCTGCGCGTCGCTGTGCCCAGCCTGCGCGCCGTGCTGTCCCGGGTGCTGGAGGACCGTGGGCGGGCGGGGGCGCGGGCGCCACGCTCCCCGAGAGCCCGGGATCGGCCGCTGCCCGGCCGCCGCCACCCCAGCGCTCATGTAGCCGCTGCTGCCGCCGCCGCCGCTTCACGCCCACTCGGTGGCTTGGCTGCCCGGGCCTGGCGCCGCGTCGCCATGGAAACGGGCGCGCGCGAGGGGGCCGGGCTGCTTGTGGGGGCGGGGCCTGCGTCAAGTTCTACCCTGACTTAAAAGGCGTCCTCTGAATTGAGATCATCGGCTGCCTTTACAGTAGGTCTTAATATCTTTGTATGCTTGTTTTTAATAGTTCACTTTTTGAATAGATGATACGGATTAAAGATTCAAAAATCAAAAAGGTTGAGTTTCCACTTCCAGTAATCACAAAGCCCTCTGCTTTATGAAATGTGGACAAAATAATGAAACAACTGCCTAAAAGCACTGGAGAAGAACAACAAGCACACAGAAAATGGACGAAGGCAGCTCTTGAAAGAAGAACTGCTTTTCCCCAAGGGCTCTCTCCGGTCAGCCGGACCTCAAACAGGAAGCCACAGGCCCACTGGCTGAAGAGGCAGAGGATGGGAAGGCCACTGCAGCTGGAAAGTGAGGGGGCAACACTGGGAAGTTTGGAGCCTCTGCGGATGAGGAGCCAGAAGCTATAAACTTCGAATATGTGGCTGGCCTGAACTGCCCACGCGTGGGCACAATTCCAGGGCCTCCAGGGAAGCACAAAGAGCTGGAAGGCCAAAAGCTGAGAAGAAGCTACCAGTTCCAGGGGAGACCAAGTTTGGAGTCTGACAGAGGAGCCTGGTAAACGCTTCAGTTTTCCTTCTAAACCTCAAAAGGGCCACACCTTGGGAATGAAGACTATGTTCTAGAAATGAGATTTGCCCTAGAACTAAGGGCAAAATCAAAATATATCCGCCCTCATAAAACTTAAAGCCCAGGCTCCACAAGTTTGGAGTAATGTTCCATAATTCAACCATCTGAAGAACAAAACTCAACATTCTTCAGGGAATTATAATAGAACCCAGAGTCTCTGTGTCACATCATCCATGATGCCTGATATAAATAATAATTTCTGGACATGCAAAGAAACAGATAAATGTGACTGAGTCAAGAGAAAAAATTCAAAAATATATTCAGACTCAGTCAACAGAAATAGATCTGCAAATAATTCTAGATAATACATTTATAGGAAAGTACTTTATAATAAATATGATTAAAATCTACAGAAAAAAGGTGGCTGTAGTGATTGTTCATGGAGAGTTTTTTTTTTAAGATTTTATTTATTTATTTGACAGAGAGAGAGAAGGAGAGTACAAGCAGGGGGAGTGGGAGGGGGAGAAGCAGGCTTCCTGCTGAGCAGAGAGCCCAACATGGGGCTTGATCCCAGGACCCTGGGATCATGACCTGAGCTGAAGGCAGATGCTTAACGACTGAGCCACCCAGGCGCCCCATCATGGAGAGTTTTTTAAATGATTGATAAAGTATTGGGGGAAAAAAAAGGAAATCCTAGAATTACAAATGAATTCAGACTTCTGGTTTCCTGGTCTGGCATTGGAAATCATCACTCCCATCCAACACAAGAAAGAAAATAGCTGAGCAAGCTGAAAAGCAACAACTTTTCTCGGATCCATCAGAGACCTGAGATCACAGGACAAACTGCTGCCCCAAAATTGGAGAGACAGGCAGGCAAAAACAGAATCACAACATGCTGGAGCAGAAACCTCTGTAGGAACCACTACCAGGGGAGGAAGAGCTAAACTGTAATTGATGAACTGGTGTGGCTCAGTGTGGACAAGTTGGAAAGTTTTAAAAAAATCCAAGGTGGGGGGGGTCCAATCTTAAAGGGCCCTCACACCTTTGTGAGTTTACCCTTCAGGAGTCCTACCAGATTCTCATGAGGAAGAATGGGGGGAAAATCCCTTTGTGATCCCAGCAGGAGGAGGGTGAAGGAGCCATTCTGAAATATTGCTCAGAGCATTCTGTTCTTCTTTACTTGGCTCGCCCTCAAAAGAAACTAGGATGGCCCCAAATGCCAAACCGGACCTGGAGGAAAAGAAATACCTCTCTAGCCCCCTCTAGCCTTCCCTCTCTCCACAGCTTTCCACCACATCAGTGGGGTTCCTGTATAAAAATGGGATACAAGTGAAAGAATTGCCCAACTGAGACCTAATTTAAAAAAGAAGTTTCTAAAAAAAACCCAAAGATAACAAGACAAATTGAAGGCACCAGGGGAATATTTTGCCTCTGACGCCTATGGCTATAGCAAACAGTAAACATGGACTAAATCCTAGCAAGATCAATATAAAATTTCAAACTAAAGGTCTATTTACCTCAGTTTCTTCCACACAATGCATCATGTCCAACTATCAACAAAAAATTACAAGGCATACTAAAAGAAGAAAAACACAGTTTGAAGAGACAGCAAGCATCAGAGCTAGACTTGGATCTGGCAGAGATGTTGGAATTACCAGATTGGGAATTTTAAACAACTATGATGAATATGCTAATGGCTCTAATGGGAAAAGTGGACAATATGAAAGAACAGATGGGTAATGTCAGCAGAGATGGAAACTCTAAGAATAAAAAGGAAATGTGAGAAATCAAAGACACTGTAACAGAAGTGAAGAATGCCTTTGATGGGCTCATCAGTAGACTGGACATGGCCGAGGAAAGAATCAATTAGTTTGAAGATATGTCAAGAGAAACTCCCAAAACTGAAATGTTAAGAGAAGAATGAATGCAAAAGAACAGAACATCCACAAATTTTGTGACTATTACAAAAGTGTAGCATTCGCATACTGGGAATACCAGAAGGAAAAGAGAGAAAGGTACAAAAGAAATATTTAAAGCAATAATGACTGATAATTTCAAAATATTAATGAAAGACAACAAATCACAGATCCAGGAAGCTCAGGGAACACTAGGCAGAATAAACACACACAAAAAAAATCTACTCCAGGCATATCATCTTCCAACCGAAGAAAATTAAAGACGGAGAAAATCTTGAAATAAACGAGAGGAGAAAAAACCATCCACCCAAACAAACCTTTATCTATAAAGAAGCAAAGACAGAATTACATTGGGCTTCCCCTTAGAAACCATGCAAGCAGTAAGAGAGCGGAAGAAGATATTTCATGTGGAAAGAAAAAAGCCACAAACCTAGAGTACTGTATCTAGCTACATTTTCCTTCAAAAGTGAAGAAGGAATAATGAAGACTTTCTCAAACAAACAAAAATTGAGGAACTTTGTTGCCAGTAGCTCTGCTTTGCAAGAAATGTTAAATTCTTCAGAAAGGAGAAAAATTACATAGGTCAGTAACGTGGATCTACGTAAAGAAGAGCATTAGAGAAGGAATAAAAGAAGGTAAAAAATATTTTCCTTTTCATATTCTTTTTTTTTTTTAATAAGATACAAAACCTGGGAAGCATAACAAAGAAGACTGATAATTCTGACTTTAAAAAAATTTCCTGTGCCTTAAAAAGATAAATAACAGACTTAGAAAAAAATATTTGCCACATACATAACAGAGAAAAAATTAATATCTAGAATACATCACTGATTCCTATATATTATTAAGAGACAAATAATATAATAACAGATAAAATTTAACCCCGTAAAGTGATTAAGGAACAAGTGAATGAAATCACATTCAAGAGAAGCAAGAAAAGAAATGGGGGGCGCCTGGGTGGGTCAGTGAGGAGTCTGCTTCTCCCTTTCCATCTCCCTCTACCCCTCCCCCCACTCCTGCTCTCTCTCTCTCTTTCTCTCAAATAAATAAAATCTTAAAAAAAAAAAAGATGGTACCAGACACCTGAGAAAAGTTACTTCTTATTGAAGCAACACAAACAGTTGACGGTTTTAACATGATAGTTTTTTAACAAGGCAAAAGGAAGTCATTGTGGAACAGAGTTTTCCTTATCTGGCAAAGGAAATATACACATTCTTCTTCAGAAAGAAATTTCTTGGCGCGCCTGGGTGGCTCAGTCGTTGGGCGTCTGCCTTTGGCTCAGGTCACGATCCCAGGGTCCTGGGATCGAGCCCCGCATCGGGCTCCCTGCTCAGAGGGAAGCCTGCTTCTCCCTCTCCCACTCCCCCTGCTTGTGTTCCTGCTCTCACTGTTTCTCTCTCTGTCAAAAAATAAATAAAATCTTAAAAGAAAGAAAGAAAGAAAGAAATTTCTTTGGGACCAAATTGGAGGGATTTAGCCTTTTGGTGGTTTGGATACAAAACGATTTATTGAGTAGAATGGATGACGTCTTCAAGAATACTTTTCCTAAAAGACAGGCAAGCCAGATGGATGTTCATTTTATCCTTTTTCCTTTTAAATTTATATATTCCTTTAGTAAAATTAAGAGATAATGAAGATCTTTTAAAATCTACTACTACAGAGGGGCACCTGGATGGCTAAGTCGGTTAAGCATCTGACCCTTGATTGTGGCTCAGGTCTCGATCTCAGGGTTGTGAGTTCAAGCCCTGCATGGGGCTCCATGTTGGGCATGAAGCCTACTTAAAAAAAAAAAATCGGGGCACCTGGGTGGCTCAGTCGGTTAAGCATCTTCCTTCAGCTCAGTTCATGATCTCAGGGTCCTGGGATGGAGCCCCTCATCTGGCTCTCTGCTCTGCAGGGAGCCTGCTTCTCCCTCAGCCTGCCACTCACCCTGCTTGTGTTCTCTCTCTGTCAAATAAATAAATAATAATCTTTAAAAGGGGCACCTGGGTGGCTCAGATGGTTAAGCGTCTGCCTTCGGCTCAGGTCATGATCCCAGGGTCCTGGGATCGAGCCCCGCATCGGGCTCCTGGCTCAGCAGGGAGCCTGCTTCTCCCTCTCCCTCTGCCTCTCTCCCTGCTCATGCTTTCCATTCTCTCTCTCTGTATCTCTGTGTCTCAAATGAATAAATAAAATCCTTTAAAAAAAATAAAAAATAAAAAATCTGTTGTAGAAAGGCTTCCGTCTTCCCTGCCACTATTCACAACTCCCCAAACATAAACCCTACATATCCGGGGGCTCTTTCTTCTTGTTGTTACCTCCATAGCTTGTAATGATGTGCTTAGCTACCATTTCTTGACTTATCAAAATGAGCCACATTGACTGGCTCCCTGTTCTAACAGATGAGGATTTAACTCACTTTTATCACCAATTTCACATTCCAGTACAGTCCTATTATTATTCTTAGCTCCTCTATTATTTATATTTGTAATCTTACACCTTCATTTTTGGTTTTACCTTATTCTACAACAAATGAAGTGTAGCCATGGGCTCGTGAAAGCACGATGTTGCCAATGCCTCTGTTTGGAATTCACTGGTCTTACTATGTTCCCCATCACTCTAAAGCTTGCCCTGATAGAATGGTGGAATGGGCTTTTGAAGAGTTGGTTATGGTGCCCGCTGGGTGGAATCACTTTGTGGAGTTGGCATAATGTCCTGTGAGATGCCCGACATGCACTAACCACGGAATAACGTAGAGTGAAATTTCCTCATAGGAAAGATATCCAAAGACTTTAGGAATCAAGGGGTAGAAATGGGAGAAGTTCCTTTCACTGTTACTAATCTAATGACCTACAGCAGAGTTTTGGCTTCCCATCCCCACAACTTTGGGTTCTGCTGGTTTCCAGGTCTTGGTTCCCAGGGATGGGAAAGGGTACACTGGTTCTACTGAACAGGAGGCTGAGACTGCCACCTGGTGACTTTGTCAGGCAAATAAGAGGGTTGCTCTACTGGTTGGGATGACTGGTCTTGATGATCAAGGGTAAATTGCCCCCATGATGGGAGTGAGGAGGAATACCTGGCATCCAGGAGATTCTCTTGGTAATCTTATTTAGCACTCCACAATCTGTGGTAAAAGTTACCGAAAACTATAACAACCTAAAACAGGCAGGACTGTGGAAGGCACGGAAACTTCAATAATGAAGATATGGCCACCCCACCATATTAACCCCATCACCATCACCAAAAATATGACTGGCTGAGGTGCTGGCTAGGGATAAATAGAACGGGTGGTGCAAGCATATGCAATCCTGTCATGTGACCAATCACAGAAGCAGCATGGTAGTGGTTAAAGACGTCCTGTGTCTTTTGTACCTGATATTTTTCTTTTTCTCCGCTCTCATTCTCATGCTACCTGATAGTATTAATGTGTAAGTCATGATTATTTCTATATCTCAATAGTAGGTTATAAGGGGGCGCCTGGGTGGCTCAGTCGGTTAGGCGTCTGCCTTCGGCTCGGGTCATGATCCAGGGGTCCTGGGATCGAGCCCCATGTTGAGCTCCCCCTTCAGCAGGGAGTCTGTTCTCCCCTCTCCCTCTGCCCCTCCCCCCACTCATGCGCTCTCTCTCTCTCTCTCTCTCTCTCTCTCAAATAAATAAATAAAATCTTTAAAAAATTAGTAGGTTATAGGACAGCAGAATCAGGGGCGCCTGGGAGGCACAGTTGGTTGAGCGTCTGACTTTTGGTTTTGGCTCGAGGTGGTGGAATTAAGCTCCTCATTGGGCTCCGTACTCAGTGCAGAGTCTGCTTGAGTTTCTCTCTCCTCTGCCCCTCCCCCTCTCTCTAAAATAAATAAATACATCTTTTTAAAAATAAAGGGTAGCAGAATCAGAAAATAAAGGAAGATTTGTTCAGGGATGGATAAAGAGGAACTTTGGGTTCCTCTTTGGGTTTGGCTGTAGGAAGGATAGCTGAATCATATAATGTGAAAGCATGGTGTTCTGAATACCTTTACTTGGAAGTGAAATGTGAAAAGGAGTTATTTGGATGCTGAGCTGGCAAAAGAATAGATTGTGCTGGGTTGGTTGTTAGCACCACCACCATTCATTTTTAAGGCTGAGAAGTATATTTTCCAGAATATCCTTTCCCATAGGTTTTTTTAAAAGATTTTATTTATTTATGAGAGAGGGGGTGGGGAGGGACAAGCAGACTCTGCACTGAGCATGGAACCCGACACAGGGCTCAATCTCAGGATACTGAGACTATGACCCAAGCTGAAACCAAGAGTCAGATGCTTAACCAACTGAGCCACCCAGGCACCCCTCCCCTATGGTTTTGGAGTAGAGTAGGCCAGGGAGGAAGTTGTATGTGCTTTGGAAGATGGAGGTGAATCAGTCACAGGTAAGTGTGTGGGTAAACAAGAGATTCACACTGGCTTCCTGGAGCACTACCCTCTTCATCACTGAATTCAGAGATGATCAGTAGAAGCTTCTCAGAGATTCTGAAGAACCTCAATGCTTCAGGCTGAAATCTTTAGCATAGCTCCTTTGAACTTGGAGACAGCTCCCATGACCTCTGCTCCTTCGGCTCTTCCAACACTCATGGAAGTTTCTAGTTCTATATTAAATTCCTGTCATGCGCAGAATACATAATGCTCCTGGCAGTACTCTGGTACAAGATTCTAAAAGCTTCCTGAGGGGCGCCTGGTGGCTCCGTCGCTTAAGCATCTACCTTTGGCTCAGGTCATGATCTCGGGGTCCCAGGATTGAGCCCCATGTTGAGCTCCATGCTCAGCGGGGAGTCTGCTTCTCCTTCTGACCCTCCCCCCCGCTTATGCGTGCACTCTACCTCCCTAATAAAATCTTTTAAAATTTTTTTTAAAAATTAAAAAAGAAATAAAAGCTTCCCGAGAGGGCGCCTGGGTGGTTCAGTTGGTTAAGCGACAGCCTTCGGCTCAGGTCATAATCCTCGAGTCCTGGGACCGAGTCCCACATGGGGCTCCCTGCTCTTCGGGGAGTCTGCTTCTCCCTCTGACCCTCTTCCCGCTCATGCTCTCTGTCTCTCATTCTCTCTCTCTCAAATAAATAAATAAAATTGAAGGAAAAAAAAGCTTCCTGAAAGAAAAGGATAGATTGCTTACAAAGAATGAGCAATCAGCATGGCATTGAATTTATCAACAGCCACATTGGATCCTAGAAGAAAATGGAGCAAAGCCTTCAAAATTTGAAGGGAAATTGATTTCCAGGTCAGAATTCTCTATCCAGCTAAATGATTAATCAATAGAGTAAAATAAAGACATTTTCAGACAAGCAAAGTTTCAAAATTTTACTTTTTGTCCATTTTTTCTCAGGATGCTGCTGAAGGATATGCAACATCAAAATTAGGAAATGGGGGGAAAATAAACAAACAAACAAAAAGAAACAGAAAGAGGACCTGGGAAACAAGGAAGCCAGTGCGGGAGAGAGGTGCCAAGCATTTACAGGCTGATGGTGGAGGAAATCCTAGCATGGCCATGTGCGAGAGGCCTGGAGGCCAGGTTGGCCAGACTGGGCATGAGGATTGAAAGCTACAGGAGCGCCAAGGGGAAAATAAATGGAGTCAGCAGTTTGTCTGATGCATTTGTCCACATTGGGGGCATTCTTCCACTCTATGGGAAAGCTCAGGAAGATTTAGTAACAGTACGTAGAAAATGAAGCAAATGAAGGGGTGGGCCAATTACTAACTCCTAGAAGAACAAAATGTATAAAAAGGGAATATAATTGTACTACACTACATAGCTCATCAGCGAACAGTATTTACATCATCCTAGTAATATCAATACTAAATATCAATTTCACCAGAAATTATAACACATTGTGGAGGAGGCAAGTGTGGGGGGAGACGGGGAGATGAGTGGGTATTTTTGTAAGAGTGCTCATTTCTTATGTTCCATCAGAAGTCAGTAAAGAATATTTAAAATAAGGAAGAAGTAGAAATGAAAGAACATTATTTAGAAATACGGAGATAGGGACTCCTGGCTGGCTCAGTTGGCAGAGCATGCGACTCTTGATCTCAGGGTCATGAGTTTGAGCCCCATGATGGAGGTAGAGATTACTTAAAAAAATAAAAAAGAAATATGGAGATAAATATCAGAAGAAACACCTTAAAGAGTTGAAAGCATTGCTTGTAGGAAGCTGGACTGCTATTTTTTCCCTATAATCTCAGAGCACTATTTGACTTTTTTTTTAATTAAAAAATTGTTTTAAAATTTTAAAATTCCAATATAACTGAGATACAGTGTTATATTCGTTTCAGGTGTACAATATAGTGATTCAACAATTCTATACACTACTCAGTGCTCATCATGGTAAGTGTGCTCTTAATCCCCTTCACCTATTTCATTCATCTCCCTACCCACCTCCCCTCTGGTGACCACCAGTTTGTTCTTTGTATTTAAGAGTCTGGTGTTTTGGGGTGGGTTTTTTTGGTCTCTTTTTTTCTTTGTTCGTTTGGGGGTTTTTTGTTTGTTTGTTTTTCTTTTTCAGAGAGAGAAAGAGAGAGGGCGCTCGTGCTCAAGCAGGGGGGAGGGGCAGAGGGAGAGGGAGAAGCAGGCTTCCCGCCGAGCAGGGAGCCCGATGCGGGGCTCGATCCCAGGACCCTGGGATCATGACCTGAGCCGAAGGCAGACGCTTAACAACTGAGCCACCCAGGGGCCCGAGATTTTTTTTTTTTTAACTTACTTCTCTGCACCTTGTTTTCTCAGTAAATTGGAAATGTAATAATAACACCTGCCTGGCAGAATTTATTTCAAGGATGCAATGAGATGATGCATGAGAACACTTTACATGAATACAAAGGAATGAAAGATGATAAAGCTATCTCCACGTTACAACCCTGAGATATGGTTGAAAGGAGAGTGGCAATTTTCCCATTCGACATTCTTTTGTATAAATAAGTAGATAATTCCTATTATAAAAACATTCCCCCATGAGAGGCAACAGGCCTCTGACTGGCGGGACATTTTCCTGTTTCCTGACTCAGCCCTGTACGTAGATGTCCGATTTCCATTCATCTACCTGCTGATATGGGTGGAAAGGCAGTTGGAGAAAGAATATGTAATATGCATGCTAGACTCTTCTCATCAGAGGCTGGAAAGGCCCTGGGCCTCATTCAGGGTGACTGAACATCCTGGTTTGTCTGAAAAAGTCCCAGTTTTTGCCCGTTTTCTGGAGGTAATTACAAACAGCAGCTAGTTTTATTCTCAAAGTATTCTCATTTGGGTGATAAATTATATGGTTGACCTAGTCATAGTCCCTTAGATTGCAAGGATTCATTTAGGCTAAAAATACGGGACAAAATGCTTCAGGTACCACAT